AAAAAAAAAAAAAAAAAAAAAAAAACTCAAAAATTAACGTGTGTAGTGACATTTTATAATGTTTTATCTATAAATCATTAGATAAAACAATTGCAAAAGCTAATACCGGCGAGCTAAATTATTTTTTAGAAAACAAAATTAACTGGATTGAAAATCTTGTTTCACAAATTTAATTTGGGAAATTAGTGAACATATATACTTGGAAGAAGCGACGGAGGGGCCTTGGGGGGCCTCTATTAGCATGAGAGGGTTGAGATGACGACTGATTCCAAGCGACCTTGCCATCACTGCCAGCACTGACCTTAAAGCCAGAAACGACAAGTTCTAAGTACCACAAGTCTGGATTCTTTTGCCACAACACAAACCCACCAACCTCACTCTTGCCTTTGGTACGTACACTCTCATCCCCCTCGTGCATTTCCGACCCCATCATCTTCACCTGCCCGACCGCGTACATGCTATTTATAGCATTCAACGCCGCCAGTCCTCCCGTTGCTGCCAAATATTGTTGAACTATATATTTTGCCGTTGAAGCCTCCTGCATTAAATACAATTAAGGAGTGACATTTTAGGAGATACAAAATGTCACTTTTTCTTTTTTTAATTAATTACTAGATTTTGGGCTTTAATTGACCACTTATAAGACCGTAAATACGCGTATCGGCTACAAATATATGTTCTTTCCCTTTAATGCTTTACAATCATATGCATTAAAGGGTAACATTTAGATATAGCACAAGTTAGATTAATCCGGAAAATAAAAATTGTGAATAAAGATAGGGAAAATTAAGTACGCTATTATTATTATTATTATTTGCATTTTGATATCTGCGGAAAAGTGCTAAATATATTCAGTGGTGAATGGTGATGGATATTTCGTTTAGTCAGAATTGTCATCATGCCGGCTACGTGGTTACTTGCATAACAATATTAGGGATCTCTGAAAAAGGAATTTATTTAAAATTGGGCAATGATTATCATCTCTTATTTTTCAACCACATCATAAATTTGTTTTGGAGTGAACATGATGATCACCAATAATGACGCCATTGCTTCTTTAAATTGATTAAAAATATATTAGTAATAGCAATGTTTCAATCGGCAAGCAGTTCACGTAGAGAAGACATATATGTTTTCCATGCTTACGATAGAACCATCTTTTATGGGACGGGTGAGTGCGTCTCCGGGTTGCACCTGAAGAGGAATTAGAGGAGAGCCAACAAGCTTAAGCAAAGCCATAAATTCATTGCTTGATCCAGAAGAAAGACGCGAAGACTTGTCACCGGCGGATTGAGCTTTCATCAAGGCGCGCAGATTCTGCCACCGCAGCGAGGCGTTGCTGCCCATGTTAGTGAACATCTCCTCCGGGATAGGCACCTCCAAGACAGTCTCCAGTCCATTTTCTTTGTCGAAATTAGGACAAAGCTTCCTCATAGAAATTTAGGAGGAAAAAAAATAGGATTTGTGGATAAGAAAGAAAGAGAGAGAAAGAGGAAAAGGTATCCTTGAGGAAAAAAAATTGGAGACCATCCCTCTTTCTCTCCTGACCCTAAAGTGGCATATTGGCGTAATTGAATAATAGAACAAGTGGTTTTGTGTGGAAATTAATGGTGAGAATATGCGCATTGGCAACGAAAGAGGACGGAGGGAGAGGTTTTCCTTGCGTCTAGATGTTTTTGTGCACTATTTTAACGCCGTATATTTAGTAAACTTCATTTTAGGACCCCTAAATATTATTGTCATATGTGTGTGTGTAATGTCTAATTACGAAAGTCATCTAGTTCTTCAAAAGTAATATATTGGCAAACGTCGTACAATAAAGGGAATATGATCGACAAACAATAGGTACTGAAGAAGCCATTCATGTAAAGTTGCCCAAAAGGGCCGAAGCAATTGCGAGGGAGTTATTCTCTATCGTTGATTTGACTATTGTATTTGCATATATCGTTAACCAACAAACGAAAATATATATGTATATAAATTTGGATGCCATGGTTTGAGCAAGTATATATCTGACATTGAAAAATCAAACCCAAGGATCAATGCAATTAAAAAATAAATAAATAATAAGACGTCAAAATTCAAAAATCCACCACTCTTAACTAACTTCTTTTGTTTTCGTCATTTTTCTTTAATTCTAAACTTTTTATGCTGATATATATATATATTAATAAAATGAACTGATGGTAGAAGTCTTATATCTTTATCCTCATTTAAATATAATTCGGTGTATAATTGCCTTAAAACGAGGATGAATTATAAAGTATTTGGTTTTTTGGGTAATCACTTACGCTCTTATATTATTGATAAAAGAAATAGGTAAATGCTTGTGATAATGAATATTATTGACACAACATTTCGATTTTCGACCTTATTGTTTTCTCTGAACCATACAGAGGTGTATATCCAGCTGAATTTGTAGTGTAAATTAAGTCAAAAAAGCCACGAAAACGCGTGTGCATAGTATAAGCATACCTGAATTTTCTTCTTTGTTTTCTACCGATTATCCGCTTCTAATTCAACATGAGATTGTCGTCTTGTGCATCTCTGGAGTCAGGAGGCTGTATTGAAAACGATAGACAAATTATTGTAATGTTATAGGAAGTAACGAACTATATAATAAAGACAGAATTTGGGCCCTGACCTATTACTAAAGGGTTGGTAGAATTGGTCAGCATATGACTTATTGGCCTAAATGAATCATAGCTTGTTTAGAAGCTAGCTCTGGCGCCATTCAAAGGGCGCCGGAGGTATTTCTCTCATAATAAAATGATAAATTTACTTTTCAAAACTAGTTTAATATCTGCTGAATATTGTAAAACATAATTAATTTACATCTATGTGAAAATCTAGCTACCGAAATCAGTACAACATAATTTTAATTTGAATTTAGCACCATGATGTCGACTCAGCAATATTCCAATATCGTAGACGTAGAGATACATCATACATATGTGCATATATCATTATTTATTATCCCTTTTAGACCTGTTCTTTTAACTTCACTTCAAGTGCCTTTCAATGGAGGTGATTTTCTATATGTAAATTTGGCCGTATACCATTTAGCCAAAACAAAAAATCTGTAATAATATATGTATAAATATGCTACATAATACATATCGTTAGGGGCACGTAGGATCTGATCATGTAATCTAATTGTTTATGCTTAAGGTATATATTTTTTTCTTTTGTCAAAAAAGAATTATGTAAAAAATAATATATAGTTGTGGCCCTATAATTAGTGCACATTGAAATGTACCATCCGGATGAGAATCGCATGATCCGGGTCCACAGTCACTTGGATTCGGTCGTCTAGCTCAGCCAGTACATGAAGATCGGTTCCTACAAAATACAAATTACGGCCGGCTTTGTCTCCACTATATATAGCGGAGCTCTAAAAATATTGCTTCACCAAATTCCACACTACCTTTGTATGCAAATTTTGATCATTCTACTACTTTCCAAGTTTCATTTCATTTTATTTATTTATTTTTTTTTTTCTCTAAAAGATAATAGATGGCTAAACGCTTTAAGCTTAAGTTCCCTAGTATGAATATTCCTTCGTTTCAATTCTGTCGCTTGAAAAGCGCTTCTTCTCTCCCCAGAAATCCACAACCGAAGAATTACCGGCTATCGCCGGTTAACCCGAAAGCAATCGACATCAGCTATCCCGCCAGCCTCCCGGCTCCGCCACCGTCCACACCAGACTACTCTTTCGTGATCTCATCATCGACGAGGATTAAATCGGACTGCTGTCGTTTGTGCCGCTCTAGATCGTGCGGTGAACACTCCGTCTCCGGCTCAAGCACCGAATTCCCCTGCTGCAACACCAAACGGTCGTCGTTTGAGACGAGGGAGAAATTCTACTTCAAACAGAAGAAATACAAGGAGACGAACAAAACAAAACAGAGTGTATTCAAAACCGAAGAAGACGACGACGAAGACGATAGTTTAGTCCTACTCGATTCTTCTAGAAGCTTCTCGGATGATCATCGTGGTCCCATCAGTCATTCGGTTGCTTCAAACGACGCCGTTCGAGAGAGATCGAGAAGGAGTACCGAGAGAAAGCCGGCGGAGAACGCGAGGAAGCGCGATGAAGGTTCCGGAGAGAGGAGGACTTCCGAAACGGCGTCGAGGCGAGAGAGGGAGCCGGAGGGGAAGAAGGTGAGGGAGAGCTTCGCGGTGGTGAAGAAGTCGGAGGATCCGTACGAGGATTTCAAGAGGTCGATGTTGGAGATGATAATGGGGAAGCAGATGTTCGAGGCCAGCGATTTGGAGGAGCTCTTGCAGTGTTTCTTGACCCTGAATTCGCGGCAGTATCATGGAGTTATCGTCGAAGCCTTCTCGGAGATTTGGGAGATTTTGTTCTCTGATTCTCATGTCAAACATCGACTTTCCTTTTGATGGTCAGCTAAATTTTCCGTTTCTCCGTCGTCTGTTTATTTTTTTGTTCATTCCGTATACTAAGATATTAGATAAACCAATTACATGCATTTTTAATTTAATTGTATCGACTATCGAATGCTTTATTGTTAGAGAGAACATAAAAGTCTTGGCTGTTCTATCAAAAAAAAAAAAAAAAAAGTCTTGGCTGTATCATTGACTCCAAGTCTAGCGATGATATTACTGCTCTCGTTTGCTTAAAAAGATAATAAATTAGGGTTGAGGTATAGCCTAATAGTAATTTCACATTGTCTTTACTACAAATGATTTTTTTTCAAGAGTTTTTTAAACGTTATTTTTGACTTTCTAAGTTTAAAAGTTGATTTTGAGAGTATTTGGATAGTCTATTAAAAGTATTTTAACTTTTTAAAAGAGCTTTAGTTAAAGTCAGAAATTGTGATTTTTAAAAAAACACTTTTAATAGATTTTAAAACTTGTACTAAAATTTAATTAAAGCATTATAAACTTAATTCTAACACTTTTATTATTTATTAAAAAATTTAAAAATCATTGTTTCTAAGTTTAAAAGTTGATTTTGAAAGTATTTGGATAGTCTATTAAAAGTATTTTAACTTTTTAAAAGAGCCTTAGTTAAAGTCAGAAATTGTGATTTTAAAAAAAACACTTTTAATAGATTTTAAAACTTGTACTAAAATTTAATTAAAGCATTATAAACTTAATTCTAACATTTTTATTATTTATTAAAAAATTTAAAAATCATTTTGACTCATTAAATTTTTTATTCTAAATACTTACTGAAAAATCATAATTTTTACTCTTTTTTTTTTTACCGGCTAAAAACAAGAGTAAAAACTCCGCTAAACATACTCAAAGTGATAGTTCAAATCCCTCACTCCCAAATTAAAAGAGAATAAATGTTTAAAAAAAGTTAATAGGACACTACTTTTGTTAAAAAAAAAAAAAAAAAAAAAACTTTTATTTTCAAGTTCTAAAGAGGTTGAAAAGGTTAAAACCACGTTGGCATATGCATGGTCGATTATTGATGTGCTAGGAAACTTTTCCATTGTTGGGTCTCAACGTATGTCCTTCTCCCTGACTTCATCAGACATATGAATCCGATCTCAATTGACGGTATCTCATCTACTACGGGTCATTCGCATTAATGTATCTTTGTTTTGTTCAGTCCAATACAATTCCCCTTTAAAAAAACGACACATTAGCTTACAAAGATAGAAGGAATTGTATTCCAAATTGTTAATTAATATATTATGTTAAAACAGAATGCTGATTGTGCTTTCTTTTTTCCATTTTCCCTTTTGTTTTTGTTTTTTATTATATTTTAATACTTGGTTATTGGCGATGGCCCATAGGATCAAAGACGGCCGAATCGCGCACCAGAACAAAATATTTGCACAGAAAACATTTGAAGGCGAAAATGACATCGAAATTACACAAACACAGTGGTCATTGAAGTTTAAATGTTGACTATGCTTTAGATACAGGGCAACACATCCTCAAGAGAATATATCATACCATTTCCTCAACAAGAATCCTGCATTTGAAAAACAAGCAGATAACAAATTGTACTCATTTGCTCAAGAGCGACACGCAAGGCTGAAACACATAAAAGAGTGTTAATGCACAACAACAGAGGGCTTCAATTTAGAACTTCTGGCTTTTCGGTATCAGGCTCCAAAGATGACGTTAATTTGTTCTCAATAAACCTTACATGACAAAGCTTTTCTCCAGCCTCATCGGCAAAAGTGATTTTTTTCCTCTCCTTGTTTACGACACCTTCACTTTCAGGAGCAGAAGAATCTTTGTCGGCCAATCTCTGCAGTAGATGAACTAGAGTAAGAAAAACGACGACAGAAACTAGGGCAATCAACTGTTTTTTTGCGCTGTATAGAATCAAGATTCGAAAGAGGGATGAAGAATAACCATGATTTTACAAAAACGGTTGCAGTCCCGTGCCATCATCGAAAGCCATCTATTAGCTTGTTGTTCAACTTTTGTTGCATTCTTAAGGGCCATTCTCACCTGCAAAAATATAGATAAATCTTTAGAAAAATAATCCCCATAGAATCATGCGTATATATAAAAAAAGAATCAAAGTGAACCATATGGTAGAAAATAATTCTGATTAAGATGAATATGGAGACTTGCAAACTTTCAGAATTCATAAAATAAGTGTAGAAGTAACATTTGCCAGCAAGATGATTTTGGCAAGTTTTATACGACACTCATATTAAGATAGATGAAGAGTAACTCTTATGGGAGCATTCTACAATTGGTCTTTGTAATTGGTAGAATACTAATGCGAAATCCAATACAAACTTACTTTCACGATACTAAAACCAGAAAAAGAGAACGAAAATCTTCTGAAAGTTTGTACAAAGGTAAGCACACCTCATTTGCCTTGAATCTCAAGGACGTAGCTGGACTGGCTTCCGAGTACAATCTATCTTCTGCAATTTCCTTCATGGTCTTTAACTCATTCGTGAGCTTTGTTGCAAGACATTCGATGTCTTGCATCTGACGTTGTGAGAATGCAATGGCACTCTGGGAACAAACTTCTATCGAATTGCATCCAGTACTAAGACGGGGTACTGCTTGAGAAGGATTAGTACCCTTTGGGACGCCTTCAGTTTGATCACGTCTCTTCCCATTCTCTGATCTTGCAATATTTTGCTTCTGGTTCACAGAAAATCTAACTCTACTTATCTTAGCAGACCTTTCAGCTGTATTTATTTTAGTTTCCTTCCCAGTCTGTTGTCCAAAGGATAGTTCCTTCTGAGGTTCTGAAATTATCACAAGTGATATAAGTCAATGTAACTGGACAACGAAAAAAACGAAAGAACAAAACAAAAACTTAAGGGGAAACCAAAAGTTTTTATTTTAACAACACATAAGCACAATATGGATTTTTAAAAATCCTAATCCTGAAGCGAAGTTAGTTTTGAAGGATCTAAAACAATTAGTATCAAACCATTTTAAGATGAAGACAACAAGAGGAAAAAGTAAGTCATTTCATATAATTTTGATACAAGATAAGACCCGATAAGACCCCTTTTTTCCATGAACTAAAAGAACTCCCAATCATTTTCCCATCAACAGTAATGTGACTCAGAAATCTAAAAAGGCTGTCAAGTATTAATAGGGCTTTAAGAAAAGAGCAATATTCTGCACTAAGTAAACGTATAATCTTTTTGCCTTTCTTCTTTTCGACGGATCTACTTTATAGTTACAGCATATTGGCTAGTTGACGAATAAAATTGACAAATCTAACCCTGAGTTAAGTATAACCAGCATATCTCGACTAATCTAGTTATGACTTTGTTCACTTACTGTAATGTTCTTCCTCTTGTAAGTCAATTGATTCCATCACCTTGCACAGTTTTTCTTGAGAGTCTGGGGAAATTGCCTGAAAGAAAAAGGAACTATATGATAAACAAACCTCCACAGCATGAATCGAGCCAAATAAACATCCAATAGATATTGCTTACCTTTCTAGTTGAGAGGAGTCTTTGAGGAGGACAGGGTAGCTTTGAATAGTAATCACCATCATCTGATGTCGTAAGCTCCTCACAAGTATCTTGGTGGAGCGTTTGTGAGAAGCTGTGTCTCTCTGTGCCAGCAGAAGTAGAACTTTGAGATTGCTGCTCCTCAAATGTAGGTGGGCCGTCAGCAAGTGGAGAAAACCAGCTTTCAGGATCCGAATTACATGTAACATCTGAGCTGTGTAAAGCACTGGATTCAAGGTTAGAAAGTAATCCATCTTTGGCATTACCAACGGGTGCACATGCATCACTTCTATGGCTAGATTTATGGTAATGAAGGCAACCATGAATGGCCACATCAGAAATTTGATCCTTCTTACTGCCAATGTTACAAGAGATTTCTTCGTTAGTAGGACTTCGAAAATCATCATGTATAGCAGAAATTTCATCACTGTTTGGAAATATTGGTTGTCTGGAGGTGTCAGCACAAGGACGTTGATCAACATATCCTTCATTGGATTCTGACACAGGCAAATCTGAGCATTGGTCATTGTATATTTCTGGAATATCAGCCTCCTTAATATCATCACACAAGTCGCTTGCAATCTGAAGAGGTTCTGAATGAGCATGATCCGCATTTTTGTAGCATACTTCATTCACGACACAAGATTGAGGATCTTCTACCAGAGAAATCAACTTGTCCATCCCCAAAACAGCTTCAGTGGCTGTCTCGGTCACTTCTCTGCTCACAGTTCCACAAGAATCCTCGTGACTGTCTACAATTTTAACAGGCCCAGAATTGGCATGGTCCATAAACTCAGGGTATGCTACACTAGCAAAATGTTGAGGCCCCTTTGTCAGAGAAATCAATGCTCCTGCGCCCCGATCACACTCGGTCACTGTCTCAGTAACTTCTTTGGGTACTATTCCACAAGAATCCACTTGATTGTTATAAATCAAGGAGAAAGTACCAGTAAAACAGGTTGCGGTTTGGCTCTCTGAACACAACGATTGGCCCCCTAGCTCACATTCAGTGACTATCTCTGTCACTTCTTTGGGGTTTTTGCTATCTCCACAAGAATCCACTTGATTGTCATAAATCAAGGAGGAATTTCCAACAAAACATTTTTTGTTTTGGCTATCTGGACACGACGCATGCATCTCCCAATCGCAATCCATGACCATCTCATTCACTTCTCTGGGTTTTTGGCCCTCTCCATAAGAATCGACCTGATTGTCATAAATCAAGGAGTCACCATTGAAAGAGACTGCATTTGCGGTATCCAAACAATCAGGTTCTACTTTAATAGGTGCAGCAAAATTCTCCGGTTCATCTTTAATAGCTGGCAAGGCACTTTTAGAGGATGCTTGATCTTTCAAACACCCACGCTTGGTCTTCACCTTCTTTGAAAGTTTTGATTTCCACAATATGAGAGGCTCCGTGAGATCACATTCATCTTCAATAGTCTCCTGTTTTACATGCTTGCAAAGTTCTTCATTTCTTGAATCAATAAACTTTGAAAGTTTTCTTTTCTTAGCTTTGCATTTCTCTTGAATTTGTTTCAGGGTCATCTTACCAGCGCCAAGATCATCAAAGTCACTATCACTTGTACCATTATCATTACTGCAACTGAACTCAGAAATGTTAGGATCGCTTATGGTAATTCTTTCAACCTTAACGTTGTTGCCATCAGAAATAAAGTCTTCAAACTCTTCCTTTGGCTCAAGAAACGAGTTCTGATTTTTTAAATCTTCAGTTTCATATATGTCCTTGAGAATCTTGAATTTGAGTAGTGGCCTTCCACGATTCACATTCAGAGTCTTTATCACCAAACCGCCTTTCACAGCCTGGATAAAGTGCAAATTGGTGCAACTTCTTAACTCCATTTGAGACAGAATTTATGTTCTACTTACTGTTGCATGAACGTTCGTCAAAAAATCCGTAAAATTTTATCCTGCAACAAAGAAATATTATTTGTGAGGCAACTAAAGGTAACATATAAAATCATATTGCCTTGAAGAATTGAAAATATTGTCAACCTTGTGTTCCCCTGATGTTAATAGTAACTTTATTTTTTTTAAAATTACTAAGCCTCATATATGTGTCTATCTGCACTTTTGATCCGTATAAATAACTGAAGTAAAGCAATGAACATGTAGCAATGAATCCAAAATAACCTTGATGGCTCTATGGCAATCTAGAGCTAATAATACGACATCACAAAATAGTGAGCCCAAAAAAAATATGCGAGTCTGACCTTATATGCACACAGTTTTACTCATTCAGACATCACTATAAAAGAACAGTTTTCAACCTAATATAATGTGAGCTTAAGTAGCATTTATGCCCTAAACAAATGGCACATCAATGTAAGCCTTTTCAGCCGTCAGTAATGATGAATACATCTGTTATCTTTAGCATTAAAATTCAGAGGATATTCTTCAAACAACTATTGAATTTCTCTACTATTAAAATAAATTTCCATTTTGAAGTCTTCCAAAACTACGTCTTGAAAACTTGAATTTAGGATAATAATCCTCTAAACATCTTATTGCACGTCTTATGCGCATGGCCACAAATGTACTAGGAAAAACATAAAATCAGAAAACTAAATGAATGCTTAACTGATAAATTTTAATTGCATTTCTGAATTGATAATTCCAACCACCAAACACACACTTTTGCGAGTTTTTTCTTAAAAAAAAAAAAAACATTTATTCCTCTCTTTTCTTTTCTTCTTGTTTTCATTCCCATCTAAAGGGCATTATAAGTCAGATTCGCAGGCAGATTGAAAAAACCATAATATTCATCCCCTTGCAGAATAGATTCACAAAACGAAAACAACACCAAAAAAGAATTAAATTTGAGTCTAAACAGACTATATACAAAATAGTGGAGATAACGACGGAAAAGAATCATCCATCTAATCAATGTCGATTTTTCGGTTGATTTCATATGCGCAGTTGAAAAAGAGTAATATATTAGCAACTTCAGCTGGATTTGAAGAAATGGCACGCAAATATCAGACTGAGATGAAATCTGGAAAACTTCAATCAATCGAACACAAAACAAAAAGATCTAACACATACATTAAAGCTTTAACAATAATCTGATGTCAAGAGGTAGAGATTTTCCGAGAGAAA